AGTTATCGATATCGAAATTTACCAAACTGATGTCTTCTGAAAACCTGAAAAATGTTATTTGATTTCATTCATAATGAATTGTAATCTTTTAAGTATTGCAAATCTGTGCTCACATTACACAACAAACTGATTGTATTGATATTAGTAAAATAAAAGATTTTCACGGACGTTCGTTCAACATCAAATTCTATTTATTTGACTTGTAAGTATACTAGGTTAGACAATACTTGGTCATATTTTATGAAGATTTAAAGCCCAAGGCGTAGCCGAGGGTTTTAAATGTTCATAAAACATGACCAAGTATTGTCTTACCAATTAAGAACATATTCACACCTTCGAGTGACCTTACAAGATCATTCTTTCCCCTTGTGATATTCAAACCTTAAAAAGAATTCACCTTTTATAATGAAGCGTTAACTTGGTTAATGAAAGGAATGTTTAGCACATACTTACAACTTCTCGTCCAATCAAATTGCTTATATTTGCCTTCTAATTTTCATAGTACATACTTTTCCTGTGTACTAAGTAACTACGCATGAATGACCACAAGGGTAAGATTTCATTGTATCGTAATCAAGATATTTAAAACAAAAATTGCCACTGGCTATTTTGAAATAAAATGCTGTGTTCCAAATTAAATTAAATAGTTTGTAATTAGTTTTCACGTTGATTTTTAAATATCCTGCTATTAAAATCTTTGGATTTAAAAAATGTTTTTGACAATTGCAAATTTCATCATTTAAATAAAGGGTAATACATATGGTTCTTTATACCTTGATTAGAGTACAACGATATCATAAAATTATGATAATGTATCATCCATGCAATTACTTTGTACACAGAAAAGTGTGTACTATGAAACCTTGTGAAGGAAAATTAAAGCAACTTGGTGATAATTTTTTAAACTTTCTTAAGGAAGGTGATCTATTTCGTCATGAATTGATTGATTTATTGATTATTGGTTGCTTAATGTCCAGTGGCAAATATTTCATACATGTTTAGGACGATGTCATGAATTGAAAAACTGTGATTATGTCTGAAGATAATGTGCCACCTATATATATATATAAACATATTCTGATAAATCTTTTAGTTTTTACTTTGAAATAATAAAAAAAAAACAACACAAAACACAAAACCTATAATCTCTGATCTATTGGTAGTTGCTTTTTAATGCCTATCTGCTAGACTATATCTATGGGGACAAACTATCTATATGTTTCAAATTTATTATAGCTTTAGTTTTACTGTGAAATTAAAAAATGTTTTCAAAACATGTAAAGCTTCCACTGCAATTTAATTATTGCCTGCTTTTGGTCAATTTATTTGGTCATCTTACCATGTAAGAAGAACATGTATAGTAAAACACCGCTTTATATCAGTATACATACTTACACCAAAAGCTACCATCTTTTCATTCTGGAGTGAAGGGCCTTTTGAAATCACATATTTTACAATGATACTAGTGAGTAGATTTACAAAACTTCGTTAATGAGCTCCGTTTTACAAACACCTGTGATACAAGTAGTCAGCCAAAATAAACTATCAATAGACCAATTAAAAGATTACTTGAGTTGTAAATATGTGCTAAATTGGATAGTCTATGGAAAGGTATATACTATGAAATTAAGAGCTCGGGGCAAGCCCCTCGCTCTAAATTTCATAGTATATACCTTTCCATAGACTAACCTAGACATAGCATATGTAATGGTCATTTCAATGGATGGAATGAAATAGCACTGACATAGTTTTGTGAGGACAAAAAGGATCAATTGTTCAAACATTGAGTTTTTCTTCTGCTTCAGATAAAATTTAATATTTATATATCTTAAATTTCTTATTTACAAAAAGCACATACAATAATTATATAAATCAGCTTTCTCCAATTTATTTATTTTTTGGTTGTAATAAAACTCACTCTTTAAATATTTGAATTACGACCATTCAACATCAGATGCTTACTTTCTATCGATGAATGTACATGTATTGTTTTTTTCTTCGAAAAAGTTCCTTTGCTTTATATATTTGCAGACTGACATTGTTTTCTTGAGAAAAAAAATTGACCCTTATGTCTGGTGTTACAATTATTTTATCTACACCTTTGCCCCCATTTTTTTTTGTTTTGTTCCATCGGCGCGGGACGTTTGCGCTTTTTCGTAGGACATTTGTGCTTTTTTAAATGGACATTTGCGCTTCAATTTATAGGACATTTGCGCTTTTTTTAAAATGACATTTGCGCTTTTTATATAGGACATTTGCGCTTTTACAATATATGATTCTTGTGACTCCCCTCTTTCTTTTATCCGGGCTTATGAAGTCATAATTTTCTTTGTAGTTAAAAGTTTAAATAGTCATTTCATAGCACATTCGTGTTTAAAAGTTATTTCATAGCACATTGATATAGTTATATATTATAGCTAAAAGTAAACATTCTAAAGACAATAAAGACACGTATAGTCTTCACAGGCCAATTTTCGCTTGATATCTGAAGCCCAAGGAATGAACTTTAGCTCTTGTTATCTGTCCTGACTGGTATTTCGCCCATATTCAATAAATATTCTAGTTTCTCTTTCTCAATTCTTGCCTGATGTGCCTGTTCATCAATATAACGATTTTTAATAGAAATAACCGACTGTTATTCAGTGATAAAATCTATTGTGACAAAAGTCATATACATTTTTCTCGTTACTTGTCTCTGTAACTTTGAACTCTATGTTTAAGACTGTGTCAATGTAAACTAACTAGCGACAAATATTTTCAAATATAATTTGATTTTTTTTACTTATAATGATTACAACTCATTAAAATTACAGGTAGATGACTAAAGGTAAAAAGCGCAAATGTCCGGTCAATTTAATACAGGTGTAACAAAATCTAAAAGCGCAAACTTCCTGTGCCCTGTTCCATATATTTACCATGATAAAAATTTGCAATATTCAAAATGTTTTTTATAATTCTATTCTCTTTCATCTTTAATCAGTAGGCTGTTTTCCTAAGGAAAATACCTCGGGGGATTGTACACTTCATTAGTGTAGTTATTAACAGTTCACTTTCATAACTAATCTACAATGAAAAGTCATTCATAATGTATAGTATTTTATAGTGCATGGAAAGCCATGTACTATGAAATTTAGAAGGAAAAAAACTGACTTTCCATTGGACAAGAAGGGTGCGTATGTTCTGATTAAAAGCTACACAACGATGATCGATCAGTGATACCTAATCGTCTTCTGTATTTTTAATTAGCAATAAAGCCTAAACGATCAAGATAAAAATGTTACTGACTTTTAAAAAAGTTTGTAATCAGAATTTTACAGTATTTATTGTTATTTCGGTATAGTTATCAACTAAAGAGAATATAATACATGGTAAAATAAAATTAAGGACAATTATAAAAAAAAAACAAATAAAAAAAAAACAACACATTCATTTTTACAAAGCGACTACGGACTAGGTAAAATGTTTCTTAATATTCAAAGATTTTTTCATATAATTTTGTACTACTGAAAAAGTATGTAAATTTCACTGATGCTTCTTAAGCTATATCATAATCGTATGCTTCGAACATCTAAATTGGTTTATGAATTCGAATGCACGGACACACAATAAATGTCTTGATAGAAGGATATAAATATATACTACTAAGTATTTGAAAGTATTCAGATATGATAGATATTATGGTACATAATTAAATGCAATTGATTTCCCAAAAGATAACACTTATGAACCGTACCAGCACCTCACTTTATATTAAAATAACAACCGTTGTCATGGTTGTACGTCGAAAAATTCCAGTTATGAATTATATTAGTGCATATATAATATTTGAACATCTGCGACTCTTTTCACAAAAAATCTTACGATAAAAATTGATCGTAAGTTATACTGAACTGTGTATGACTTACGAGTAGTTTTACTCTTAAGATGTTTTGTGAAAAGAGCCGCTGATACCTAATTTCTTTTACGTCATTTTTTAATCACAATGTGAAGAAAGGAGATGATAGGTATACTTGTGATCGTTTATTTTCGTGACATACTTCAGCGTATAATACCGATTTCCATGAGCATGTAAATGTCGGAAAAAAAAACAACAATACCACGGCGAAAAACGAAAAACTACGAAAAGGCTAACAAAAGTTACATAACACTACATAAAAAACTGAAAACTGTGCAATCCACCCCCCCCCCCCCCCCCCAAAAAAAAAAAACCGGGGGACCAAAAATGACTAGTGTAAAACCATTTAAACAGGAAAACCGACGGTCTAATCTATATAAAAAAACGAGAAACGAGAAACACTTATGAACCACATCAACAAACGACAACCACTGAACATCAGGTTCCTGACTTAGGACAGGTGCAAACAAATGCAGCGGGTTATAACGTTTTTTCAACTGGTTGCTTATACACAGGGGGCTATGGTGGTAAGCCATAAATAATTTTTGTTATTTATTCTGATATGGGACTCGGACTTCTTTTAAACTGAGTTTTACTCTATGTATTGCTGTGTGTTTGTTTATCCTACACTGAATAGATGTATAGGGGGAGGGTTGAGATCTCACAAAACATGTTTAACCCCGCTGCATTTTTGCGCCTGTCCCAAGTCAGGAGCCTCTAGCCTTTGTTAGTCTTAAAATTGAGAATGGAAATGGGGAACGTGAAAAGAGACAACAACCCGACAAACCAGCAGAAAACAGCCGACGTATGTTTTTTCAACGTTAGTTCATTTATATGCTTCGGAGGATGTGACGTCCATTTTCACTGCACTAGTACACATTTTTGTTTAGGGGCCAGCTGAAGCCCGCCTCCAGTCGCGGGATTTTCTCGCTGTGTTGAAGACCCATTGATGGCCTTGGGCTTTTTTGACACATTCCCCATTTCCATTCTCAATTTAATTGAAAATGCAATGAATTAGAGTAAAATAAAGACCGGTATTAATACTACTGTTTAATATGGATACATTTTCACGGCCCCACAAAAATATGTAGGAAGACCTAGAAGGGTGAAAACATTTTATTTCAGAAATGCCATTAAGATACAAATTTGTTAATGCAATACACATGATAAAAAAAGTTACTGACAGTGAAAGCTTATATATCTCATATCTAAATAGTAATAACATGTGCATTAATTCATTCAAATTGCCAATAATGTCATATAAAATCACATATAAGTAATACAAAAATTTCATTAAATTCGAAATTAGAATTGTTCTTATGTGAGTAAACTATATGCAAATAAGTAATATAAGTAATAAGTACAATTAATTGACATCAGTAAAAATATTGTTCAAAACATAATTGCCAGTTAAATATTTGTATTGCATAGCCAGTTAACATTTGTACTGTATAGCGAATTAACATTTGTATTGCATAGCCATTTAACATTTGTACTGTATAGCGAATTAACATTTGTATTGCATAGCCATTTAACATTTGTACTGTATAGAGAATTAACATTTGTATTGTGTAGCCAGTTAACATTTGTACTGTATAGAGAATTAACATTTGTATTGTGTAGCCAGTTAACATTTGTACTGTATAGAGAATTAACATTTGTATTATGTATAACCAGTTAACATTTGTACTGTATAGAGAATTAACATTTGTATTATGTATAGCCAGTTAACATTTGTACTGTATAACGAGTTGACATTTGTATTTTATAAACCAGTTTACATTTGTACTGTATAACGAAACTACTGTATAACGATACAACAAATGCATTGTATAGCCAGTTAATGCTTTAGGTACACAATGTGTAAACTATAGTTTATACCAATAAGTGAATGTTTTTTATAGAGCTAACACACACAAATCTTTGTTGCAAACAATATTTTGAATATTGGTCCAGGGTATCTCAATTTCCGGATAGTCTCGTTGAACTTTTAGATGAAAGATGTGTGTAAAATGAAGCTGTAAATGTACCAATGATATATATTTTCTTAAGTGTTTTCACATTTTCCTTAAACATCTTGCGATTAAATAATAAAAACACCAACGGGTTCACCAAACTATTCAATGGTGCCAGAACAAACAAGAGTTTGTATGTTGTGCCGTACTCAATTTTGCCCCAAACAAGCAAAGAGGCACCAACGCATACAGGTGTCCAACACACAATATATACTGAAATATAAAATCATATTATTTGTCAAATTAGGCCACATAAATCATAAATACATGTTATATCATTTTAATAACCCTCCTTCCTCAGACATTTCTTTTCAATTAGCTATAGCATCTTGTTTTAGTGTTTACGTACATCGTAGGGTTGTACGTGTAATTTTCTTAGTTTGTAGTTTTATAGTTCGCCATTTTCAAATTGTTGAACATGTTTTATAAATTATATTTTGCAGAATTTATCGAGTGTACGTTGATTAGAAAAAAATATGATTACCGAATACATCAGTACTAATTCATGCAGAGGGGGTATTTGTATAGAATTTGCGTCATTGTGTTTGTTCATGCTCGATTAACTGATTCTATAAATGATAAACATTGTCATCAGTGAAAAGAATACATTCTACGGTATTCAATTTACAAATTTATATTTGCACTTTAATCGAGCATCACAAAACAGACATTGATTTTCGAAATGAGCACCTGATGCAGTAAAATTGTTACTGTTCATAATAGTATATATATTGTTTTTTAGTGGTTTTTTTTATATAAATATCCCTTTGAAATGGCGGAATCAATGATGGCATTTAAATCCCAAACTCATTGTTTTGTGTATTAAACAGTCAGAAAAAATGCGTACACCAAAAGTTTTGATGGGCAAACAACATCGAAAACAATGGATATTCAACGGATGGCGAACATTATTTTCATTTTGGTATAAAAACAATAAAATTACCTGTAGTCCATTAGATTCTGACATGGCGTATTGATTTGAAGTTACGCGATTTACATTTCATGACTCCTACGCGTGGGGTAAAACAAAGCTTGAGATTCACTAGAGGTCAAGCTGGACCAGAAATACACTCTTTCTTTCAAAATACGTTTGTCCGAAAGATGCATCTGACACACAGAAAGAACACTCCTACTTATTTCATATTTTACAACATCGACAAAAGCAAATGGTGAGAACATCCAAATGGCAATAAAATATTAAAATTCAAAGCAAAGTTGATGTTAATATAAATAAGAAGATGTGGTATGAGTGCCAATGAGACAACTATCCATCCAAGTCACAATGTGTAAAAAGTAAACAATTATAGGTCAAAGTACGGCCTTCAACAAGGAGCCTTGGCTCACACCGAACAGCAAGCTATAAAGGGCCCCAAAAAGACTAGTGTTAAACAATTCAAACAGGAAAAACCAATGGTCTAATCTATATAAAAAACGAGAAACGAGAAACACTTATGAACCACACCAACAAAGACAACCACTGAAAAACAGGCTCCTGACTTAGGACAGGGGCATAAAAATGCAGCGTTAGTCCATTAATCATTTGGAAAATCAAAAAAATACAACACATAGAACACTTGCCCATCCTTAAGTAATTATAAAAACTAATATATATATTAAAAGAAACAACAGTAGATTACAAATATTCTAATCACGTGAATCATTTTTGAATTTACAAACCAAGTAAAAATTTATATGAGGGAATCCCATGAATACTAAAAGATGCGTCGACAAGGTAAGCGTCGCCTGCTACGTATACACCAACGTAATACGTATTCAGAATCAAGCAAAGTGTCACAATAAGGAATAGGACACAACCGGAAAACTAACAGATCAGACAACTATTTTGTAATATTCAAATCTAAGAACGTAAAAATTATTCATTGACGTCAAAACTGTCAGGCGAATTCTTAAAGGAGTTATTGCCCTTAAATGACAAATTGTACCATTTTTAAAATTTTTGCCTTTTATCTTGAAAACTATAGAGAGAAACTTTAAGTTGCAGAAATGATCAGCAAGACAAGATCTACGAAAAAGTATAAATTGTCGAAATCATCATTCGACTCCTAATTAGAGTTAATGCCCTTTGATGACGATTTTTACCAATTTTTTGCGTTTTTGCCTTATATCTTAAAAGTTATAATAGATAGATAGAAACTTAAAGCAGCAAAAATGATCAGCAAGACAAGATCCACAAACAATTCAAATTTTACCGAAATAGTTAGTAGACTGTCATTCTTCATATGAGTGATTGCCCCTAAATGAGGATTTTGTTTACCCTTTTTTGTGTTTTGAGCAAAACTTGAGAAAGACAGAGCGAAACTAAACAGACAAAATGATTAGCAATACAAGATCAACAAAAAAAAAGAGATTTTTTCATGATTTCTATTCTATTCTTGTCATCAATGGTGGAGAGAGTCCATTGATGATTATGCACACAGACCTAGGTGATAGACACAGGCTCTTTAGATCCTCTAGTTATACATGCTAAAGAGACTGGCATACGACATAAAAGCAAAAATGTCTTACCTGTTACAACCACAAACAAGAGTTTTATAGTCTTAATCTTTGCCTTTGCTATTACTTTTGAACATCGTAACTTTTTTGAACGATCATTCTTGATATTTGTTACGCCTGGAACAGAAGTTGAAAATAGAGAATACACAAGTGAATATATAAAATAAGTTGATCGTTAAGTATATGGTCCGAAATGATTTTATCATTATTTGGTTATAAAAAAAGAATGTTTGGGTATGTGGTATTACATACAGTCCTTGATTCGTGCAAACTTCCCAATAATACGTTTCCAAATACACCATTCCCAATTCTCCCATACAACAATCTACATTGCACCATACACCACATACCATTCCAACCAAATAGGAGATTGCACAATTCAAGATTTCCCTGAATGTATTTTTTTAAAAGATAGCATATGATTACAACTTCCAATATTATAAAACAAGAGGCTCTCAAGAGCCTGAATCGCTCACCTGTATTTCAGAGGAGAAGATTTTAAAATGTTAGCAAACTTGATGAACAAATTGTGTAAAATTGTCTTTAAAAGGCAATAACTCATTAAGGGGTCAATTGACAATTTTGGTCATATTAACTTCTTTGTAGATCTTACTTTGCTGAACATTATTGCTGCTTACAGTTTATATATATCTATAATAATATTCAAAATAATAACAAAAAACTGCAAAATTTTGTTAAAACTACCAATTCGGTGGCAGCAACCCAACAATGGGTTGTTTGATTCGTCTGAAAATTTCAGGGCAGATAGATCTTGACCAATTAAACAATTTAACCCCATGTCACATTTGCTCAAAAAGATTTAGTTTTTGAGATATAAGCCAAAACTGCATTTGACCCTTATGTTCTATATTTAGCCATGGCGGCCATGTTTGTCGATGGATACAAACTTCGTATACAATTTATAAACAAGATACCCTAAGGAACATTTAGTTAAAGTTAGAAAGTAATTGGCCCAGTAGTTTCAGAGGAGAAGATTTTTAAATGTTAGCAAACTTGATGAACAAATTGTGTAAAATTGTCTTTAAAGGGCAATAACTCCTTAAGGGGTCAATTGACAATTTTGGTCATATTAACTTTTTTGTAGATCTTACTTTGCTGAACATTATTGCTGCTTACAGTTTATATATATCTATAATAATATTCAAAATAATAACAAAAAACTGCAAAATTTTGTTAAAACTACCAGTTCGATTCGTCTGAAAATTCCAGAGCTGATAGATCTTGACCAATTGAACAATTTTATCCCATGTCAGATTTGCTCTAAAAGCTTTAGTTTTTGAGATATAAGCCAAAAACTGCATTTGACCCCTATGTTCTATTTTTAGCCATGGCGGCCATGTTTGTCGATGGATCAAAACTTCGGAACAATTTATAAACTAGATACCCTAAGGACCATTTAGTTAAAGTTTGAAGGTATTTGGCCCAGTAGTTTCAGAGGAGAAGATTTTTTTAAATAGTTTACGACGACAGACGACGACAGACGACGACGACAAAGACGACAGACGACGACGACAGACGACGGACGACGACAGACGCCAAGTGATGGCATAAGCTCACATGGGGCCCTTTTGGCCCCGGTGAGCTAAAAAGAACCAATAGCGAAGGTATCATTCCCATACGCCATTCCCAATCGTATCATAAATCATTCCCTATTGCACGATAGCATTCCTTCCGCCATATATGGTTTGTTATAAAGTGAACAAATTCAAGTGCTGTAACTTATAGTGTAACAAGACCAATACTGTGTCTGGACCTCCTGTATGCAATTGATTGATGTAAAAGTATATCTCTTTCACTGAAGCCAAAAACAAAACCTTTGACGAAATTTTCCTTGTACAATGTCTGTTTTAAATTTCAAACTATCTACAAACAGGAAAAGAATGCACGGTGGATGTAAAATTGCTAACACTCTACAATTATAACTTACCAATATTAAGGTGCAGACCAAATATCAAATCATTTCCTTTCATAGAAGCCAAGAAAATGTTGACGAACGTTTTCTACCTAAGGTATTTCTGGACGGACGGACAGACTGAAGGATCGATCCTAGCGGTAACTAGACCTGCTTTTGTCTTTTGCGACGTAGGTAATAATAACGAAGTCAAAATACTGAATTAAACCTGTCAAAAACGTGTTTTACCTATTTTGGGAAGACGTATATTTATTTCAGGACACCATATTGTGCTTACCTTGTCAAATTTACAGACTTAAATACTCGGCAAACGTCAAGAAGTTCCAGTATAATAAACCTCGTATACCATGTCTTCTAAAACGCAACAAAGAAAACTAATGAATAATCAACGCGAACCCCCAAAAATCAGGGAAGGATCTCATGTAGCCCGTGGTCAACCAACTCGTGATGGCGTCCGTAAATATATGTTTGAAGGGATGACTTTAAGTTTACCATTTGGAACCCTTGGTGTGAAAGCTCCCTTGTAAGCAGCAACCCTCTAACAAGGAAATCATGATAAAAAATGCAAGCTCTGGAATCAACTTGGAAATATATACTATATATCCTAATATATACGACGGTAAATACGAAAATAATGTTTTAAAGCTACAAAAAAAGCATCAAATTCTTATAATTACATTTGAATAACGAAACCATAAAACTAATCGTCTGATTCATTTTTAAATACTACTTCATATTTTTCTGCCAATCCAAATAATAAAATCCTTATGCAACACCTACGTAATGTGATTATTCATAGTTAAAGGGGCATTAGCTACGAGATTTGAAAAAATTAGAATATGATTTTGTTTGGTTCAATCATTTATAAAAGTGAAATAATGAATAATAATTCGCTTTTAGCAGCCAATTTGGTTCAATTTTGTCAAAGTAAGACAAGAAATATCGCTGATGAATTATTCACTTGCAAGTGAATAATTCGACCTCATTGAATCCGTATTCATGTGACCTTCAATTTAACCCATTTGCTGGAGATTGGTTGCGTATGTATTAGTCGTGTTCAGCCATTAAAAGGAAAATAATGTCAACGTTTAAAGTAAAACAAAGGTGAACCATTTCGTTGACTGATTCGATCCATAAAAATCATTCACTTATTTTTAACTTATTTTTTTTAACTAATAACATGAAATCAAACAGGCCTAGAAAATTCCAATTGCACGAGGTCACTATTTATTTATATTTATGTTTATGTTGATATCGGGTTATGTGACCGTCGGCAGTCTTCGGAGGTCATCTCGATAGTTAATTAGATGGCGCCTAGACTAAAATACACACGAAATACTGATATAAATTATCGAGTAAATGCATTGTTAACTGTTTATTTCGGACTTATTGTAACTTTACGTTTTAGTATGTTATAAATCAAATATGAGAATTTGAGTCAAATCGTTGAACATGAATTTGACAGCTAATGCCCCTTTAATGCTAAAATGACTTACGTCGAGAAGTTGCTGTGCCCTCTTCAAGATATGTACTTCTTCCTCGTTTCCATATTGTAATAACAATACAGGTGTAGCAGGTACCAATTATTAAGGCTGGTATTGTGAGGTTGACATTTATATCAAACATTAGTATAAACTGAAATCAAAGCAATATTTAAAAAATAAAGTGGTCATGAAATACATTTATATTCCTAACCATTTTCCCACAGAAAGACAAGTCACTTCATCCTGACAATTTGTTTCCACTCCAAACCAACCCAATCTAATTTTTCCAAGTCACGTACAAAAAATACCAATTTCATTTGCCTTTTGTATCATGAAGAGAATACGTTATGAAATTTCGTTCTATATCTTTGATTTTATAATGGTATTGACGTATACTTTCAGAATGCACCCTTTGCGCTCAGCTAAATTGTACAAGCGGTAAATATTTGCGAGAATAAGGCCCATTTAATATGTTAAATTAAAAAAAAATTCAATTGATGATTAATTTTGAAAAAGATATTTTACAACTTCCTATCAAATCAACTTGATCTAGTTAAAACGATTTTTTAATTTTAATTTTTTTGTCATTTCAAAATGTGACATGAACATTGTATAGTTAAACCTCTTAGTCAGTGGCGGATCCAGAAACTTCACAAGTGGGGACTCACTGACTGCCTAAGAGGGGACCCGCTCCAATTATGCTTCAGTGATTCCCTAAATAATCAACCAAAATCTTCCCCAGAAAGGGTAGGGGGCCCCTGGGCACCCCCCCCTAAATCCGCCTTTGTTAGTTACATTTTTCACGGTATTCATATCCCTAATGAGATATAGCATTATCACATTAATGCTGGTAGGGTAAGATTCAATGATAAACTCATATTTACCTTTGTAAGATCTCCAACATCATGAAAACAAGCAGACTGTTCTTTTTCGTATTTTACATGAATGAAGCCTGGTATTGAGAGAAATAGTGCAGCAACCCAACATGATATTACTAAACAAAATCTGTATTTTCTACCCCGAGCTATTGACGAGACAGGCCTTACGATAACATATAAACGATCTAATGATAGTGTCACGATTGCAAATGTTGATACATATATTGGAAACATGTGCATTCCTTTGAAAATATAACAAATGTTTTCATCCCATCCAACGTCAAATCTCACTGCTAAAACTTCTGGCAACGAATATATTAAGCCAACGCATAAATCTGAAATCAGAAAAAATGAAAACAACTCTTTTTAAATTCCATGCGTCCGAAGCGCTTTTCTTGATTAACCTTCACCAGGAACGTTCAAATCCGAATATTTGAAAGCCGAGGATGTATAAGAACTGGAACAGTTCAAAAACTATTTAACAAAAAACAAAAAAAAATGATAACCAAATTCGTTTAAGTTCAACTTTGCCAGAGGGATTTGAAACTTAACAAGTTTCTAAAAAAAGATAAGACATGTATTCATATATCAATTACACAAATTACATAACCGTTATGTATAACAATTTCTTTGAATTGATGAAATTAAATGTTAATAATTTTACAGACTGTCAGAAAATGTTATTTTTATTTTCGAATCAAGATATTATTAGATTATGTGCCAAACCTATACTTTTATCCCGAAAAGACGCCGAAAAGTTTAAATTGTAAATTATTTCACTATTATGCTGTATATTTTTAATCATTCATGTTTAATTCTTTTTTACTGTATAGACATGTTCGTTTAGTTATCGTCTCACATGAATCTGTACAGATTGGCTTATGTATAACAAAATGTATCTTTTATGATTGCATTGTATATTTGTATGCATAAGGTGAGACGTAAATGAAATAATGAATTAAATTGTATAAAAATAAAACGTCAACCTTATTTAACTTGATATCTCAAAAATTCTCTAAAACATGAATGTCATTTTTGTTATAACTATTAATTAAGGAATGACTGTAATATTTTTTCCCTCTATGAAAAAATAACATAAAAATGTTGTGCACACTGAATAACTCGCGTAGCGAGTTATTAAAAAGTGTGCACCACATTTTTTAGGTTATTTCGAATAGACAGAAAAAATATTACAGTCATTCCTTATAATTCAATTCTAAAAAGGAGTAAATCAGGATCAAAACGTTCATGACGTCACGGTCACACGACAAATATATGTCTATGAGCTGATAGACAATACACTTTCAGCCAATCAGAAGACGTGTTACATCCAAAATTAAATTATAAATGAATGGTTTCAAGTTGAATTAAATCATACCTGCTATTGCTAGATTCTGAACAAAAAATCCCATTCTGCTTTTCTTCTTCGTGCGGAACAATAACGTTATTACTAAAGTGTTGAAAACTATAATACCAGCGAGAATTGCTACTGATAACCATTTTGTAAGGTCATCAATAACCTGGGAAAGAAAAAAATATAAATTAATAATTTGTTAAGTAAATGCGTCAATAAATTAACACAGTCTATACCGGGATTGAACAAATATCATACAATAGATGTGTTTGTTTTTTCAATGTTGTATTGTTTTGTTATTGTCATGTTGACGTAACCCCTATATCTCCTTTGAGTCATAATAAAAAATAAAAAAAATTACTAAATCAAATGATGGTCATCAAAACAAATCTTTTAAGTACAACGTGTAGCTTGCAAAATGGGAATATTGTTATATAATATGATACATCATGCTTATCTGTGGAGACTGTGCTGCTATCAACTTACTTAATACTATGTCCAAGCTCGTCGAATAACACATACATAATATAATTCATCAGAATTTTTAATATTTTTTATCTGGGTCTAATTGCAATATCTCAGTCAAATTTGACAATGGCAATTACAAAAGGTATAGTCGTAAGTTACAGGGAAAATTACATTGGGACTACATTTCTTGACTGTTTTTTCCAAACGTTATATGAAACGTTCATATTAAAAACCTTTCCGTCAGTATCGAAATTAATGCCAATCATAAATTCATACGAGAGTAACGACACTTTGAAATATGAATAAGATACGATTCTCCGGGGGTTAAGAAATTTCTATTAATGATATATAAAATCGCTAACATGATTTGGAAAAAATGAAAACAACACGTTATTAATTCATGTTCCCGAAGTGCTTTTCTGGATTTACCTTCATCAGGCACGCTCACAGCCGAAGTTTAGTTTAAATAGTTTCATAGTTTTGATTTTATTTTCTTATCTGAGAGACAGTTTGAGTAAACGCATTTACTTGCAATCTGTCAGTTGTTTTGGTCAGCACTTCTGTGCTGACATGAATTGTCATTAGTATGGTCATTTCCTGTAAATTTCATGTTGATAAAATATTGAATAAATCTGAACACCAAGGTTTTTCTACCCTTGGCCATAGAAGGTCTCAGTGTTTCTATTTTCTAAATATTTGGTTTTCAATGTTCTCAAATTTGGTATTTGATTTAGCCGTTCAACTGTTTTGATTCGAGCGCTACTGATGTGGACAAATTGAAATTATGGTGTACTCAATTATAAGCCTAGATCTTTTATGAGATTTTGTAACTCCTTGTCAATAGTTGAAAACAAAGAAACCAACAAAATATCAACCTGCAATGTTTACAAAATAAGACTGCCGTTTGAAAAATAATTATTTCATAAAGGGCGATTAATAAGAGCAAAATTGACCATAGAATTCAAAACAACTGATTCTACTTTGAACCAATTTAGTCCAGTCATTCTATGGTTATACCTCAAACTAATTGCAACAGAAATGTTTTTGCGGAATTCGTGAGAGATATAACGTATAAGAAACATATTAAAAATCGAGAAAAATCGAAATAGGGGAAAGTCGTCAATTTTGGCGAAAAAAAAATCAAGATTTTACTTCAAATATTATGGAAAGATATGGCGCCCGTAGATTGAGAATGACGATATGGGAGACAACTCGTAATGGTCAACTGCAGACGACGCATCTAGTGTCCATCCTTTTCATTCTGGTAAGTAAATATAAGACTTATATATAAAAGTTTTATATGTATTTAGCACTCTTAAGAGTAAAAGCTGTCATGCAAGGTATTTTTGGTGTTTTTGAAAGGCGTAAATACACGGGAGACGGCAAAAAGTAGTACAGGGCAGAAATGAGTTCATTTCGGTTTGCCGAGGTCTCTAAACCACAAATCACGTGTAAAACAGCTCTGCTTTTTTATATTTGGACTAAATTATATACATTTCATATATAAATCGCCCCGTAAAAAAGAAATTATAGTCTACTGCCAGGAGTTGCTGACGAAAAAAAAAGTATGGAACGCCGTTAGTGCCAAAAAGGTTACAATCCAACAAAATTGAATTCATGGAAAAAGGAAGTTGTACTGATAATAAAATTTTAAAATCGATACAGACAAATTGTTTTACCAAAATAAGATGAATATTTATTAATCAAATGATAGAGGGACATTAGAATTGTCCAGTTTAACAAAGCTACCATTATACAATTTAACTGAGCTACCATGCACCAAGCAGGGGAAAGGCACTCTATCAAACTTCATATTACATTTTGGGGTAATTTTTATTACTGTTGTTTATCTGTGCATACATCAAGCAGGTATTTTACCCGAAAAGGAGGAGGGGCGCCACTTAATACTTGTATTAATGTCATATGTTTCTGTATAAGCGTTAACATGATAAAGTAATAAAAACACAATGAACTACGGCGGAAAGTACAAATAGAACCAGAATATCGACAAATAGAAACTATTAACAAACTGAAAAAAATAACTGTTGTAATCCTGAATCAAAATGAGTACAGACACTACATATGAATTATTTTATAGTATAAAAAAAGTCAACATAGATCTGTTTTAATATTGTATCCAAAACAAATCTTTTGATAAAATAATATGAAAGCAAAACCAAATTAATTGAATCTCGTCTTAACAGTTTTATCATTTTTTTAGGTAATGATGGATGCTTGTGTTTTCTGTCGGGTGTCTCTAAACAATGGTGAAGAAATAACACAACTAAGAGAAAAAGGATGTAACACAGTTAATAGGACCAGCCAAACCAGAAATGATACGATCGACACAACTCCAGGACAAAAAGTTCATCAGAAATGTCGACGTGATTACATAAACGCTAATTCAATCAAGAAGGACTTGCGAGACAAGAATTTATCGACAACCG